TTGAACTTGCCTGATTAAAAACTGTACATCAAATGAGAATGGATAAATAACATCTAACTTACGTTGAACTTGCCTGATTAAAAACTGTACATCAAATGAGAATGGATAAATAACATCTAACTTACGTTGAACTTTCCTGATTAAAAACTGTACATCAAATGAGAATGGATAAATAACATCTAACTTACGTTGAACTTTCCTGATTAAAAACTGTACATCAAATGAGAATGGATAAATTTATTTAAGCCAGACTTACTTCTTTAATCAAATATTCGAAAACTAAAAATTTGGAACACATTTACTCATTTTTTTAAGTCTTTTATTATCGGATTTAAAGTAAGGTAAAAGCAATGAAACTATCAAATAAAACTCTACGATAATAAGTTTGAATTTTGGAACTTCCTGTACTGTCTTTTCTACTTATCGTGTTATGCTGTTGTTTTCAAGATCGATTTTGAGTCTGTTAGGATTACAACAACCACAGAAAAAGTGAATAAATAAATAAATGAGTTAAATCAGAGTTACGCATAGGTTCGGCTTATAACAAATTAAAGCACTTCCTTAAGAACTTTTAATGGAAATTACCTAAATCTACACGTCAACCTAACTCTCTCTCAAATCTACCTTTTTCATCAGCAACGTATTGTTCTCGGAACTTGCAAAAGGCGTTTTTTTTTTTACTTTCCCTCTCTCTCTCTGTAGTGCAAACTTGTGATATGGAATTGAGATGCAAAAAAATACAACAAATGATTTTTTTCTTTGATTATAAAAATTCAGGTTTTATTTTTGCACAGTGTTTGTTTGGAACAACGAGGTAATTATCGACCTCTGAAATCACATTAGATTATTTAGGTCGTGTTGAATGACTTACTGTCTCTAAAAGTTTAATATTTAATCCAAAACCCACAAGTGCTTTTGTTTTGCTAAGGCGGACTGTATAAACTGTTTCAGTATATTTTAGACTCCACTTTATAGCGAGTTCCATTAGTTGTGTTTTATTACAAATTTAATTAGTGTATTAATAGATTTCTCGACTTATTTTGGTGTAAGCTGAAACAAAGGTTGTTTTTGTGTTTGGTCAATGGGTGATTGACTCGTCAGCAGCCACGAGCAGTTACAGTACTGTAGTCCTTCATCTTGGGTATGGACATCGACTTGGTTTCGAATTCGAAAGTCCGAGGTTCACGTCGCGATTCCGCTCAACATGCTCCGCATTTTCAGCCGTTATTCGGTTCAAGGCCGGACAGACAGACCTTTTGTGTCACAGTGGTTGCATCTGACCGACTGCCTTCCCTCCGGCCCGTAGATGAAAATTAAGAAAAGCTATATTTAAACCCCAGCAGTCACTATGAACTTGACCGTTTAGCCAAGGTTGTAAATATCAAATAAATCAACAGTCCTTCGCATTGAACGCATTTTCCTTGATATTTCCAAATAGAACTTTGATCAACAATAACTTATACCTGCTTACAACCGTTTGACCTACCGAAACGGCAAATCAAATCATTTGAAACGCGAATTTTTTTAATCGTTTCTACATTTTTTTGTTATTCTTGTTGTTTTGGCACAAAGTTCCTGTCTGCATGCAGGATTATTTATTAGATCTAATAAACAGCTGTTAGTCCATGAAGGGTGTGGGGCTTTAGACTGGCAAGATAAATAAATCTAAACAAACAGTAATTCTTGAAAGATCCAGAAAGTTTTGACAAACAAATATTTGCGAAATGTTGATGATGCGTCATATTTTTAATTTTGCCAAATATTCATACTTTTATTAGACAACTAATGATATTGAAATATTCTAGAACTATCACCTATAGGATCGGTTATATGATTGGTGTGTTAACCAACTACCGATACGGGATCGGTTATTTGATTGGTGTGTTAACCAACAACAAGTGATACGGGATGGGTTGTGTGATTGGTGTGTCAACCAACAACTGACACCGGATCGGTTATATGATTGGTGTGTCAACCAACAACCGATATAAGATCGGTTATATGATTGGTGTGTCAACCAACAACCGATATAAGATCGGTTATATGATTGGTGTGTCAACCAACAACTGACACCGGATCGGTTATATGATTGGTGTGTTAACCAACAACTGACACCGGATCGGTTATATGATTGGTGTGTTAACCAACAAACGATACCGGATCGGTTATGTGATTGATGTGTTTACCAACAAGTGATACGGGATCGGTTATTTGATTGGTGTGTTAACCAACAACTGACACCGAATCGGTTATATGATTGGTGTGTTAACCAACAAACGACACCGGATCGGTTATATGATTGGTGTGTTAACCAACAAACGATACCGGATCGGTTATGTGATTGATGTGTTTACCAACAAGCGATATTGAATCCGTTTTGGGGTTGGTGTGTTAACTAACCACCAATATTGAATCAGTCATTTGATATTAACTTTGTGCTTATTTTAACTCTGCATTTACTGTAACAGTATATTCCTTAAACCCCCCCCCCCCGTCATTATGTATTTTTTTCTTTCGAATGGCAATTTCAAACCAGATAATATACGGAAACTAATGAGATCGTTACTTTTTAACGAATTCTCTTTGCGATAGATGGCGCTAGAAAATATCAGTTCAACTGTTATATATATATATACTAATTGACGTACGTGTTCAACGATCTCCCCCCCCCCCCCAAATCAATTCCAGGAGCCCTTAAGGTACATGCCATGATTGGTGACAATCTTTCCAGCGGTTTGCCAGTTATACACGCAGAATTTTCTAGAATAATGGTTTATGACAGATATATATATATATATACATACATTTTACCGACGTAAAGGTTAGATAGAAACTATCAAATAAAGTATTTAAAAACTTGTATTTCTGATAGCATGGGATTAGGGTTTTTCTTCTCCATTAGACAACGACGCTGATTGGTTTGTTGAAAACTGCTCGACTGTTGCGATTGGTCCGAGTGGCAAGGAAGATTGACCGTTACTCTGAGTATGGAGCTGCTGTGCTGCTTCTGCTTGTGGCTACTTTCGCGCTAATTGCCCATTGGCTGGCTTGTATTTGGTATGCAATTGGTAACGCCGAACGCAACATTATGAAGCACAGAATAGGTTGGTTGGACCATCTGGCCAACGCCACCTTCCAGTTCTACAACAATTCATACGGAGGACCCAGCATCAAATCCAAATACGTCACAGCGTTGTACTTCACCATAAGCAGTCTTACCAGTGTGGGGTTTGGAAACGTCGCCCCTAATACAAACATGGAAAAAATATTTTCTGTCTTGGTGATGCTGATTGGATGTAAGTATTATTACGTGTACTGTTTTTACTAGGTGGAATAATGTGACTTTTGTTATTTTATGTTAGATTGTTCTTTTTTTTTTAATCTTGGCAATGCTGATTATGTACTAATTTTGTTTCCATTGTTATGTAGATAGTGTTGGTGTTCATTGTTGGCACATTTACGTGATGCATAAATTAGAGCTAAGTAGCGCAAAATTATACTAATCGTGTTAGCGGAAGTATAATTTTATTCATTAATACACGTGTTATTGAATATACAATTAGTGTAAGTGACAGCTGTAATATAGCTGTTTGAAAAATGGTTTGGGTACATACACTATTGGATTTATGCTTATAGTGTTAGCTCTGATATAAATGTTTGCAATTTTTAGTTCACTAATTAGTGGATATTAAAATTAAGTGTTACTTCATAAAGCACCATAGCGTAACCTAAAAACTGGCAGTTGAAATCGTTGGAGTCTTGCATGGTTTATCGAATGTGTACATCAATGTGCAACTATATGGAAATCCAGCGGTATGTGTGAAAAAAGGTGTGCGTCCTAAAAATAGGAATAGCCAAACCTTTACTTATTGTCACTAACCCTGTATATTTAGTAAATTTTCAAACATGTGTTTTTTTTTCAATTAAGTTTCCTCGGCTGCTGAATTTCATTCAGTGAAAGTCAAGGTGGTGCCAACATTTCGACCAGGTTTATACGGTCAAAAAAAGATTTCTTTTCAACCTTTGGATCTTCTTCAGAACAATGTATCACTATTATCACTGGAAATTTCAGTCATCACAATGGAAGAGATTCTCGCACAGAGTCCAAGTGCGAACTCAAAAATAACAGAATTCTCCACCAGGACCGCGCTAAACCTCACTAGTATGTGCTGCAGAATAGCAGAATTCTCCACCAATACCGCGCTAAACGGCGTTAGTGTGTACTCCAGAACAGCAGAGTTCTCCACCAGGACCTCGCTAAACCACACTAGTATGTACTCCAGAACAACAGAATTCTCCACCAGGACCGCGCTAAACGGCCCTAGTGTGTACTCCAGAGCAACAGAAATCTCAACTAGAATCATGCTTACAAATTCACGTACATACTTAAAAACATTAGCTCCATTTACACTCTGACTCTACACCACATTCTTAGGCATTGGATCCCGGCCATGGCACTTGGATCCATTGATCCCGCCAGGCCCGTTTGCTTCGGTTTGTTTCAATAAGTTGTCAACAATCGTTCTCCACTTGTTTCTTCTGCAATAACAACCTACCTCTGCTACGCCTTCGCCTTCACTTCCACCCACTTACCTCAAAATTACCACCAGTGCATGTGTATATATATATATATAGTGTATGTGTGTGTGTGCATTCAATTTGGATTTATTTATATACATATACATTTGTTTTTCGTTTTTTAATTCATTTTTTCGCCTACTTGGCCCGTTAGAACGATAACCACTTTACGAACTTCTAATCTTTAACCTCGAGCAGGGTGAATGAGGATTGCTAATCTTCGAACACCCTTGGTGATTAACAGTTTTTTCTCTTAACTATTAACTTTACACCAGAATAACTACCACTCTGATTTAAAGAAGGCTTCATCCGGGAGAAGCGTGGCTCCTATACTGCCGCTCTTTGTAAAAGCCCCTGTAAGGAGCCCGACGTGCTGTCCAAAAATCGTCCACTACTAGTTTTTTTCTAATCATATTTCATGAATTTCATGTTATCTTTCTTATCTGATGTCACTTTTTTTTCCTACAAACTATTCTTCTCGGTAACGGTAATCTTGACAAGTTGTGCGTTTTTTGTACTTTTAAACACCAGATTCTTATGTCCAAGTTTTTTCATTAAAACCATAAAAAACCCTATATTTATTAGACACGTTCTCATGCAATATAATGGATATTTAGAATTGTTTAAATATGTATAAACGATGCAATAAGGTGCAGTTAAATAGTCATTTTATTCGCTCTTCTGTGTTCTTTGTCAGCTTTGATGTACGCCAGTATCTTCGGTAACGTCTCTGCCATTATCCAGAGGTTGTACTCGGGTACAGCTCGTTACCACACTCAGCTGCTTCGGGTCAAAGAGTTCATCAAGTTTCATCAGATTCCCAACCCACTCAGACAGAGGCTGGAGGAATACTTTCAACATGCCTGGACTTACACTAATGGCATCGACGTAAACACACTACACACCGAAATGAAATACTTACGGATGCCATTAGTGTAAGTCCACGTGTGTTTACGTAAACACAGTAAGTATTTCATTTCGGTGAGTAGAAACACACGTGGACTTACACTAATGACATCGACGTAAACACAGTAAGTATTTCATTTCGGTGAGTAAAATCATATGTTGATAGTTTTGGGGGGGATCACGATTTACTTGAACAGAGTTGTGGACTGTACAGAATTTTTTTTTATGTGTTATCTTACATCCAACGTTTCACGCGTCAGTCTGTTAGTTTTTAATAACTGTTTTTCTGTTTATTTATACATTTTCTGTACCCTGTCTATTATATTTCTGGTCGAGTCAGATTTGTTAACAGCACTTTTTAAATATTTCGAGCCATTTGCTTACCCATAGAGTCCAGTTAACCCGAGAAAAACACTTTGTTAACAACACTTTTTAAACATTTCGAGCCATTTACTTACCCATAGAGTCCAGTTAACCCGAGAAAAACACTTTGTTAACAGCACTTTTTAAACATTTCGAGCCATTTGCTTACCCATAGAGTCCAGTTAACCCGAGAAAAACACTTTGTTAACAGCACTTTTTAAACATTTCGAGCCATTTGCTTACCCATTGAGTCCAGTTAACCCGAGAAAAACACACATCTGGAGTTTGATAATATCATGTGGCTAGCTATCATTTTCAAATGATGGAGAGAAATACATAATATTTTGTTATTTTTAAACAAAAGCATGTTTTACTCAGAGTTTAGCTATTGCTTACATCTTAATTTATCTTCTCCAGGTGTTAAAGGGTTTTCCTGAATGTCTTCAAGCAGATATCTGTCTCCATCTAAATAGAAATCTCTTAGAAAATTGTCCAGCCTTTAAAGATGCCTCTCCAGGCTGTCTTCGAGCACTTTCTATGAAGTTCATGACGACGCATGCGCCCTCTGGAGACAATCTAGTACACCGTGGAGATGTTTTAACCGCCTTGTACTTTATATCCAGAGGAACAATAGAAATACTAAGAGATAATGTTGTGATGGCCATTCTGGGTAAGCCGAGTTTAATATCAATCTTTCCGATTACTTGTTAATGTCATAGTTGCTCCATGGAGAAAAAACACACTCATTATACGAAGGTTACAGTTAATGTCACAGTTGTTTCCTGGAGAAAAAACACACTCATTATACGAAGGTTACAGTTAATGTCA